AGTCAGCAAAATATCGAGGAGATGCCAGCAAAATAAGAGTGAAATGTGATGACTATTAAGTATGACGCACAGGAATGAATAAAATAAAGCAACTCGATTGAACGAACGACAGTACTCGATATAGTATAGCGAGTATCGGAAGGCAGAAAAATTTGGTGATCAAAAGTATATTTATTCTTATAAAAACTATTTGGCTAAATTTTATGTTCTCCTTTGAATGTAAGATACATACTCTGTAAAATATTCTAATTTATCTTGAAGTAAAATACTAATTATTGATGCAAATGTTAAACGATCGGATAAACGAAATCGTATTTTATCTGCTTCTAATGTACGAATTAATAATAAAAGAAATATTTTATTATGCAACAATTGTTCTAATAAACAAAGGCCTTGACGAACATTGTTACGTCTATTCGTATTAAGCTAAAAATAACACAAAACAATAGTATAGACTTTAAAAATTTTCATTTTAGATAATACATACGGGTAATTCTACATTATGTAACATCATATATTCTTCTTCATCAGTTGCATTTGGAAATAATATTTTCATGCAAAATGTTCGATAATCATGAAATGGTACTCCCGAATGACATAAATCATTTGTCAGTTCTCCAATATCTGTTTGTAACTCAGCAAAAGCTGAAAAAACGAATAATAATAGACTAACGAGGGAACCGATTTAACTGCCAATTCGTTTTTCAATGAGACCTGGTGAATTATAGGATATTGACTATGCTGATTCCGAATATGACCATGGTAGTTATTTAAAGATCTCCAGAGATCCGATTTTTAGAAAATCAGGTTTTCAGAAACTCTAAAAAATAACCTAAATCCTTTTTAATGAGGCATAATTGTAGCCCGCATATTGCTGATTAAAATAAGACATTTTCCGTCTCTACACGACCTTTCTTTGCAAAGTTATAGAGTTTACAAGAAAGGCCTTAAATTCATTTTTCGTTTTTCTTTCTGTAGCTCTGAGGTGACAATGAACAATTAGGGCTTTTGTTATAAATTCTATAACTTTGCAAAGAAAGTTCGTGTAGAGCTGGAAGATGTCTCATTTTAATTAGAAATTTGCGGACTACAATTATGCCTCATAAAGAAGGATTTAGGTTATCTTTTAGAGTTTATGAAAATCTGGTTTTCTAAAAATCGAATCTTTGGAGACCTATTAGCAACTGCGATAGTCATATTCAGAATCAGCATAGTCGATAACCTATAATCCACTAGGTCTCATCGAAAAAATATTTGATAGTTAAGTCGGTTCTCTCGTAAGACACTCCTATTACTTCGAGCATTTAATAGGATATATTAATTGATAAAAAAGAAAATTACGTTACCTTCTTTACACTCTCTTGCTACTCTCATTTCTAATGTATCAATTTGATTTTGTAAACGGTTTAGTTGTTTAGTACGTTTTGTATTTGTTTGATGAAATAGAATATAGGATATAATAATGAATCCAGTTAGAATTATTCCACAAATACAAGCCACTATGTAATAAAGAATGGATGAACGTTTTTCAATATTTTGATAGGCTAGTACGCCAACTATATAAAATCGATGGCCCACTTTCACCTTAAATTGAGAAAAACTAACTATATATCATTCACATTATTTAAATAAGATATAAACATACCGTAACTGTTGCTTGTTCATTCTTGGAATTGGATCGTTTCCGTATTTTTAACATTGTTCGATTCGGTGGTAAACAAACGATTTGTTTTTCACTAACAGACGTAACATTGCAAAGAAAATTACCGACGGTTATTTGATAATCTTCGACTATTAAACCATTGAGTAAATTTGATCCATCAATTGTTAAATATTCATACTGATACTGAATTTTTATACCATCATTCGAAAATGGATAGATTTGAGGGTCAGGACATAAAAAAAATGGTTCCGAAAATGTGGATGTATTTCGAACTGCTTCCACATCATCCATAATAAAACCAAATTTAAATTCAACACAATCAACATCTTTTAGTGCTCTTTTTTTTGAACTTAATTCTGTTACAATTGAAGAACTACGAGTCAATGTTGGTGTTATCGAAGATAATGATGGTGATAACATACTTAAATTCGATAAATTTAATGCTGGACTATAACATACCATGACATCAGAATTGTTCACAATACAATGCTATAATAAAACAAAATTTAAATTATATGTTTTAAGTTGTATCATCACATACATCAGAATAGAATTGACTGTTATTATTGTATTGTAGAAAAATTTTTGGTAATTGTATCGCATGTAAATTTTTTCCATAAACAAAAATTGATAATCCACCACTCTCTATACTTGCATAACGACTTAAATTATAGATGATTGGATCATCTATGTAGGAATATGTTAGATTTGAATAGGTTTCAGTGAAGTTATCGATAAATATTGATATTGTTCCAGTCCATAGCGCTTGCCGTTTAATAATTTTTGAAGGTTTATGATATAGAATTTCATCCATGTGAGATGACGATAACAGCTTTGTTGTGCGACATTGTATTATTTCGTCATCAATGATAGTCGATCTTTTAAATAGAACTGTATCGTTCAAAAACAAATCTTTATTGTCATATTGTTCATTTAATAAAATACATTCTTGTGTTCCAATGTATATTTGTATTTTACTACCGACTGTTAAATATTTTCCTTCTATAGATAAGACTGTGCCTCCCGAACGTGGACCCAAAATAGGATAAAATGCTGATATTCTTGGTTGCTAAAAAAGAGAAGAACCAGTAACGAAGACAATACAAAACGATATCATTGCTACTCACCACAGTTTGGAATATTAGATGATCTTTACTGATAACAGATTTCACAATTACTTTTAATGAATATATTCCAATTGGCAATTTCTCACTTGGTAAACATACGAATGCTTTAGAAACAATGTAGAAGTCGGATTTAATTATACAGGGATATTCTGTTTGATTTTTATAAATTAATATGGCATGAATATCATCCATTTTCTGTCCTAAACTTGTACCATAGACTTTAATTGGTGTTTGCCCATTTAATGGACCATATAAAGGAACAATCTACATGAAAATAGCTTAATAATCATGTATCAAAATCATGAAAAGTCTAAATATATACCTGGAGTATCCTCGGATCAGCACATGTACCCATTACTGCACTTACTACTTGATTTTGTTCACAATTAGACAAATTTGGGTTTAAACATAATTTTTCGTTTTCACACCATATACAATTGTAATAATCTTCTAATAATAAACATGAACCACAAGACTCAGATAGGTGTCGACATTTGTAGACATTAACTAATAGAAATCAAAAGTTTTACGCATATAAGATATATAAAAATAAATAATATGTACCGTTAAAATCTCCTTCACGTTCAAGCACTTTATAATTGCATTCAGAACATTCTTTCCATTTAACATTAAACATATACTTTTGTTTTCCAATAATGTCATCGTATGTAATCTAAAAATGGTTTCTAATTAGAGAAAACTATCGGGTTGAATAATAAAAAATTATGTCTGATTTACTTTGAATGAATCACAAACTAAATAGGTTTCATTTAACAACAATGCCGGAACTGTCATTACAGTTGAACCATCTGTCAATTCCAAAAAACATTGAAAATATTGTTGAAGAGGCTAAAAAAATATGTAAATACCAGTTTGAAGTAAAATAGTAGAAAAAACGATCGAATTGTTGCTTAGGTTTTGTATTATACATATTTCAAATCTATCACTCTTTTACTTGCACAATACAATTACATGTAAGTTTTTTGTCTCTATTGTCACTTTGTGATTTCCAATATGAAATGTTTCGCCGTTCGAAATGTATAAATTAGATATTGATGTTTTGTAATGTGGACATGAATTCGCTGGATTTAATTTGTTCTAATAAAACAAGAGATAAAAAATTATATTATTTTACACTTAAGATTATAGAGTTTATTCACTTCTGATCTAATGATCGAGTTTGTTTCAGATATAGAAATTAGTTCTTTATCGAAACAACGTTCCGTTAATATTGACCACCAACATTCATAGGCTTTATGCAGACAATTTGTACAGCTAAATGAATAAATAAATTTTAGTATAAAGAATTGTCACTTAAGAGCCGTCATTAGAATACCTGCGATATAATGAACAATCATAGAAAGTGATATTTTTTTCAGTTAGTATAAAATCATTGTATAACAGTCTTAAAAGTACCGTCTCTATAAGTCATACATTGTTACTGTAAGATAGAATGAGCACTAGTAGGAGAAAGTATTGTACCTGAATAAACGACAATAAACTGAGTTGGAGGAGACATACAATCGATATGTATACCATCACGAACAATTGCATTTGAACTGTAAAATATTTCATTGGTATTACTGACAAATGAACAAGAATATAATGCTTGATGATTTTCCGGTACACTATCAACTTTTAATTCGAGCTAAATAAGAAGACGAAGAGGTATAAAAGTTAGAAGAGATTTTATTTATTAATAAAAACGTACGACTCATTCTTAATTGAGATCACTTTTTATAATTAAAGAAGTAAAAATGAACTTTTAGCTTCTATTTTAGTAAAATATGGATTCCTAAACTGTATATAGTAAAAATTGTATATACTAGATAGAGTGAAGTGAAAGTTTTGTAGCTGTCACGCTCAGTTAAATTCTCAATGTGAAACACATCCTGATCTACGTAACAAGACATCGTCAGCAAAGAAGTATACGTCCCAGAAAGGTAAGATCAATACATAATGATGCTGTATTGATTGCTGTCAAACAAAATTATATGAGTGGTCATATAGATCTAGAAGATTGACAGAAATTGTTAAGAGCATTAAGGCATCGTTACATCAAAGTGTTTGAGAATACAAAAGACGACGAAGAATATGAACCAAAACAATGAGAATGTTAAATTTTAAAGTTAAATTTTTTACTATTTTCTTTCTGATAAAAATAGTTTAAGAATCTATATTTTAATAAAGTGGAAGCTACAAACTACAGAGCTTTCACTTCACTCTATCTAGTATATACAGTTTTTACTATATACAGTTTAGGAATCCATATTTTACTAAAATAGGAGCTACAAGCTCGTTTTCCAAACTGAGATCACTTTTCAAAATTGATAGAATATGCCATTTTCAAACTGAGATCATTTTTATGTCTTTAATTGTAAAAGGTGATCTCAATTAAGAAGCCTCAAAACGTACATTTCTGGATCTCGCTATTGATATGGCTGTCGGATTAATTTTGACAATATTTGGACAATTATCTCTTATTTGCAACCATTCGAATCGACGTATATCTTCACTGCTATTAGTAATTCTCATAGTACATCTAATTATAAAAAATTTAAATAAAATCATTTGAATAAATATGTAAAAAATGAAAATAATCAACCTGTTCAATGTTGTTGCCCAACCACAATATGGATTTTGAATTGACA